CAGGCCCAGGAGCGCGGGGGCACCGGCTGGGAGCGCACGGGGCCGCTCCCGACCCGCTCCCGTCCCCGCCGCGGCGGCCGAGGCACTGACCTGTAGTGGGTCGGCTTCTCCGTCTGCGGGGGGGACCCGCTCAGCGCCGCCGCCGCCGCTTTCGAAACAGACGGCATTTTCAGTCAAAACAATGCAGCGCGCATGCGCCGCGCGGGCCCGCCCCCGCCCCTCGGGATCTTCCCCCACGCGGAGCCCACCGGCGCCCCCGGCCCCGCGGCCACGCCCACCCGGCCGCCCGGGCGCCGCCTGGGCTGGCGCCTCTCGGGGAGGGGCAGCTCCGCCAGCGCCCAGCGGCCAGCTGCCATCTCCAGGCGACCCTCGCGGACCCTAGACCAGGCCCCGCCGGGGACACACCCCGGACATGGGCCGCTACCACTCCCGCATCCCCCGTGCATAGCGTTTCCCCCACCCCCGCGGGCGCCCGTGGTCCAACTGCACACCCATCCTGCACTCGCATAGCGCTCCTCTGCCCACTGCTGCCCTGAGCATTCTGCCCGCCCGGTGCGACCGTGAGCTGGGCTCCAGGGGATGGAGCCAACAGGTCCTCGGGATTTAGACAACCTACACAGGCTGCTCGGTCACACTTCACTCACTCACTGACTCTGATGCCATGCTGGGTGCTGAGGCTGGAAGAATGGGTCCAACTGCTTAGGGCTGGATGTGGGAGAGATGGGGAGACATAGGGCATGTTGCTCGTGGGAACGGAGTTTCTTTTAGGGAGTCCGAACATGTCCTAAAATTAGATTGTGGTGATGGGTGCCCCCTGTGAATATACTAAATATCTTTAATAGGATATTTAAATGGGTGAGTTAAGCTGATTTTTAAAGAAGAATCCAAAAGACACATGGACACCAACAGGGTGGGAACTCAGGGAAGCAGGCAGCAGCCGCCCCAGCTCAGCTGACCCTGGAGTAAGAACCAGGGTGTGCATTTCAGGACACAACCCAGGCCCCAGAGTACATTATTCTGTAAACATTTTTTAAAATGTTCAACTTCTCGCCAGGCATGGCTCAGAGGTTGAGCATCCATCTACGAACCACGAGGTTACGGTTCAATTCCTGGTCAGGGCACATGCCCGGGTTGTGGGCTCGATCCCCAGTATGGGGCATACAGGAGGCAGCTGATCAATGATTCTCTCTCATCACTGATGTTTATATCTCTCCCTTCCTCTCTGAAATTAAAAAAAAAAATGTTCAACTTCTCTAGTAATTTAAAGAAATGCAAATGAAAACAAGGCAAGAGTCCCGGAGTGGGCGGAACGGCATTCTGCAGTGTTGGGGGCCTGCGACCAGACAAGCGCAGCACAGCTGGGAGGACAAACAGGCGCTGAACTTCACAGAAAATGATGTTCCATGTCTAGGAACTGACCTAAAATCAGATTCAGATAAAGATCATTATCAGTCACTCAGCAAACACTTGAGAGCGCCTAACAGAACAGTAATGGTGACATGGTTAAGTTCAAGGGCTATGCCATGATTTAACAACAATGCTCCTATTGACATGAAAAATGCTCCTGTTTAGGTTAAAAACAAAGCAAGGTATAACAGTTCCATATATTTGTTCTCAAGTATGTAAGTTATTTTTTGAACTACAAGTATTACAGTAAAATAAAAGCTATCATTTGCTGGTGGGGTAAATGATTATCTTCTTATGTTCATTTTCCAAATGAATTATTACCTTTACAAACATTACATTTAAACCTGGGAAATGGCAAAAAATCAATATGGTATTTTCTAAGAAAATCAAGGAGAATGAAGCAGAGGACAGGACTCATTCATTTGTTGGAGGAATGAAGAGATCTTGAAGGCTGCTAGTAAGTGGGGAAAGAAAAAGAAGTCTAGAATAATTTCAAGGTCCCTAGCTTGGAGGAATACATAACAAAGAAACAGGTTTGGGAAGAGATGAATTCCACTTTGCACCTAAGCTGTTTGAGGAACCTTTGAAGTCCAATACTGATGTATAGAGAGCCACTTTGGAGCTCAAAAAATGAAGTTGGCTCAATTTAAAAATTAGTGGTTGGGCATTGTCCCATACACTGAAAGGTTACTGGTTTGATTCCCAGTCAGGGTACCAAGAAAGAAAAATTTAAAAAATCTGGGGATCTTCACTGTAGAGGTGGGAGTAAAAGTGCCTACTGTTCCTTCTTACCCATGAGATGTCTTCCTTGAAGAGATCAGAGAATTGTGCAAGGCTGTGAAGACCCAGTGTAATTTTCTGTGCTTCCAAAGACTTTTTTTACCTTTTAATATATATTTTTTGATTTCAGAGTGGGAGAGGGAGATAGAAACATCGATGAGAATCATCGATTGGCTGCCTCCTGCATGCCCCCTACTGGCCATATGCCCTGACCCGGAATTGAACTGTAACCGCTTGGTTCATAGCTCCACGCTCAACCAGTCATGCTGGCTGGGCCCAAAGACCATTCTTAAATGGCTGGGGGAGTACCTAGACATATAACCCTTCATTGTAAATTTAGAAGTGTTTTACTTTTTCGGGGGGTTGGGGTTGAGGGAAATGCACAGCACTTCCGAAATTGCTCAGCTGCTTAAAAGATGTGAGGCCATTTAGTTAACCTCCTCTTCCTCGGACTTTTTTTTTTTTTTTTTTAATATATTTTATTGATTTTTTAAAGAGAGGAAGGGAGAGAGATAGAGAGTTAGAAACATCGATGAGAGAGAAACATCGATCAGCTGCCTCCTGCACACCCCCTACTGGGGATGTGCCCGCAACCCAGGTACATGCCCTTGACCGGAATCGAACCTGGGACCCTTCAGTCTGCAGGCCGACGTTCTATCCACTGAGCCAAACCGGTTTCAGCCTCGGATTTTCTTTAAAACAATTTTCTCCTCCTTCTGCCCAACAATTTCTCATCTCATGAATCACTGCAACTGCTTCTGTTATAGCATGCTTACACTAGTCCTCTCCCGCTCAAATCCTCATCGGGTGCTTATCTCGGGAAGCGAATGTGCCAAGCACCCTGGGAAGAAGAAAAGCTACAGCCAGTGGGGAGTAAGATGAGCACACTACAAAAACTGCTAAATAATGAAAGGATTTCAGTAACAGTTCACCTGTCTGCCTACTCTGCTGCCAGCCCTTTGCCAAATCCAGGTATGGGAGGGTCTGCCTACACTTGCCAGCGAGCCTGGGGTTCTCCTTTAGCTCATGACAAAACCCGTAACAGCCTTCACCGATAGCCGCCCTGGAGGCACTCAGGATCTGTTGCATGTGGCATGATGTGTTTTCTCTTCCTTTTGCCCAACAAAGTTAGTGTCTAGCTTCCAGATCAAACACATTGCTTTTCTCATATGGTTTACTTTTTCTTTTATTGGAGAAAAAGATCGATTTGTTGTCCCACTTATTTATGCATAGATTGTTGCATGTGCCCTGAACAGGGATTGAACTTAACCTACAACCTCGGTGTAGTGGGATGCCGATCTAACCAACTGAGTGACCTGGCCAGGGCTGAGTCACTTTTAATTAACATAAAAAAATTTTCTCATTAGTTCTGACATTTTTTTTTTTCCTGCAAGAGCTAGTAAGAGTAAATTAAGGGTTTGAGTGTGAATGCCTGTTGCTCAAACGAGAGTTCACAACTGTCAGGCCAATGTGGCTCAGTGGTTGAGGGTCAACCTATGAATCAGGTCACCCTTGGATTCCTGGTCAGGGCACATGCCCCAGTTTCGGCCTTGATCCCCAGCAGGAGGCAGCCAATCAATGATTCTCTCTCATAATTGATGTTTCTCTCTCTTCCTTCTTCTTCCTCTCTGAAATGAATACATAATTAATTTAAAAAAAAAAAAAAAAGAGGCCCTGGCCAGTGTGGCTCCATGCTGGAACATCTGCCCAAGGACCAAAGGGTCTCAGGTTTGATTCCCGGTCAAGGGCTCATACCTGGGTTGCAGGTTTGTTCCTCAGCCCTGGTCGGGGCATGTGCAGGAGGCAATCAATTGATGTGTCTCTCTTACATCAATATTTCTCTCTCCTCACCTCCCTCCCTCCCACTCTAAAAATTAATTTTTAAAAATATCCTCTGGTAAGGATTAACAACAACAAAAAAAGAGTTCATAACCACAGTAGGCCAGAGGAAGGACATCTTAGTTCTTTGTTCCCACTAGGGATTAACAATGTAACTTGAGCTGATTAGGTCAATCTTTCCAAACCTTGGATTCTCCATCTTTTGTTGTTGTCATTAATCCTCACCCAAGGATATTTTTCCATTGATTTTTTAGAGAGAGTGGAAAGGAGTGAGACAGAGAGAAACAAGGATTGGTTGCCTCTCGCATGCACGCTGACCAGGGCTGAGGATCAAGCTTGCAACCGTAGTATGTGCCCTTGACCAAAATCAAACCTGGGATCCTTCAGTCTAAGGGCTGATGCTCTATCCACTGAGCCAAAACTAGGACTCTCCATCTTTAAAAACATGCACCTACTGCCCTCGCCGGTGTGGTTCAGTTGGTTGGAGTGCCGTCCTATAAACCAAAAGGTCGAGGGCTCAATTCCTGGTCAAGGCACATAACTGGGGTTATGGGTTCGATCCCCAGTCAGGGTGCATACAAGAGGCAACTGGTTAATGCTTCTCTCTCTCTCCCCCTTCCTCTCTCTAAAATCAATAAACATATCCTCAGGTGAGGATTACAATGAAAGAAAAAAGCACATACTTGTATGAGTCCCACCTCCCTGACAAGCATAATTTACCAAGGTGTGCCAGGCACTTAGAGAACTTCAGCAAAGGCCTTGTGAGAAACCCATATACTCATACAGCCTTTAAACTTCCTCGTGAAGGAAACCTCCAATTAACTTCAGCAGCATATACTAGTACATGCCACGGTGAAACCTTTCACTAGAAGTTTCCGTAAATAAGATCTTCCTTTTATGCATCTTGTATTTCAGAATTAAGCAGGATTCCTAAGTAGTACTTGAAAAACATAATTTAGGTACCTCAAATATTGTAATTTGTCAAAAGAAAAATTCATCGGTTTTATTTTATTCAGAAAGTTGTTGCCTTGATAAAAAAGAAGAAGAAGGAAGAAGGAAGAAAGAAGAAGGAAGAAGAAGAAGAAGAAAAACCCACAAAGGAGCCCTGCCAGTGTGGCTCAGCGTTGAGTAACCCAGGAGCAAAGAGGTCACCAGGACTGAGGTCAAGGCACATGCCAGTTTACGGCTCAATCCCCAGTAGGGGGCGTGCACGGGGCAGCCATCCATGATTCTCTCTCTCATCATTGACTTCTCTCTCTCTCCCTTCTTCTCTCTAAAATCAATTTAAAAAGAAGGAATTGAAAAAGGACTAAAAGACTCCCTTTGTTTAATGAGATGCAAAAGGGGGGGCTAGCTTAATTCCACATTAGCTAATTAATATTTATCAATGTGTTAGTTTGTAAAACTAACATCAATTTATACATACCACAATACATTGTAAAATAAAAAGCTTAACTCGTCTGAGTTATTCTGTCTCAAAAGCAAACTAGATTACACTGGATTACAAGTGTCACCAGACTTGCTTTGGAAACATAATGTTGAACAAAATCACAAATCCAAAACCTTTCATATGGATCTAAAAAAAGTCTTTTGTGCATATTCGTTGGGCATCAAAGTATCAGGCCAAGAACTGGGTCCCGTCTGCTGACATTCTGCTCTCTCCTCCCCCGAGGGTCAGTGTGGCCAGGCGCGCCATCCAACCCTTCAGCCTGGGGACGCACAGAACCAGACAGAAACTATCAAACGCGACGTCAGACCTAAGGGCCGCTGCCTGGTCCCTCGCTGTCTGCCCCCGCGGGCGCCTCTTTAAGTTCTCTCTCCATAGGCAGCGGGAGTGCCAGGCTCCTCGGAGGGATCGCTGAGCTCCGGCTCCTCTTCCTCCAATACCTGTTTCAACCAGCGGTCCGTGCTGGTCTCGTCCCTGACGACGCACCAAATGAGCAGAATCATGAGGGACAGGCTTATGGGCAAGACCCTCCACCAGGGTCGCTGCTGCTCCTTTCCCAGGGAGTGCTCCACCGTCCAACGGGACGGGCTGGCTTTGCTGGTGGAAAACGGAATGGGGCGGTCAGGATCGTCCTCTTCCTCGCCCTTGGCTGCGGACTGGGCCTGATCCCGGCCACCGGGCGGCGGATGCAGGCTTCGGGAAGCCCAGCGCACGAGCCTCAGCGCCCGGGCAGCCCTGGAAAAAAAAGAGCAGTGAGCTTGCCGCACGCTGCGCCCGTCCTCCGCCCCGCCGAGATCGAACAGAGCTCACCCAGCCGCCGGCGCACACAGCACACAGCTCATCACGACCTCGGCTCTGCGTCGCGCGCCGCGCACGTCAGTTCCGTCGCGCGAAACCGGAAACCAGACGCAGTTCCAGGTCTCCACTCACGACTACAGAACGTGGGACCACTCGCGCAACGGAACTGACGCAAAGTCTCTCGGCGGCCACTTCCGTCGCAGGTCGGCTCGAGGAGCCGCGAGGGAATGATGGGAAATGTAGTTTTCTACCGGCCCGAAGAGGTGGTAGCCTGCGGGTTCCTAACCTGCGGTGCAGGGATTGAGGCCAGCCGGCGGAGCGGGGTACTGGCGTCTTATTCCGACAAACGGGTTCCCTAGCGGGCAGAACCGCCCCAGATTGGCGCCCTGAGCCTGCACCCCTCGCGCTGTGCTGGCGTAGTCCCTGGACGCTTCCTGGCTGCCTTGCGACGCCCCAGTTGGCTCTCCTCGTGGGACTTTGAGTCACAGGAGTCATCTTGTTCCCTCGATTAGTGTTCCCCACTAGGATCGAGTTCCGTGAGCACATAGCCTGCCCGTGGGTTCCCCCCTGGCAGTGAGCACCCCTGCGCCCTGGGACCGCAGGCATCTGCACCCAAAGCTGCTCAGGTCCCAGGGCTGGCCAAACCGCTCTGCAAGACAAGCTTTACCGCGCAAGGCCAGGATTCCCTAACCCTACGCAGCAGGGCACACCTAGAATCATAGAAGCCATCTATCTTGCACTTGGACACATCCTCCTCCAGCCCAACGGAATCACGTTGCACGAGATAGCACTAATCCTTTGAGGCTGCAGTGTGCTCCGGTTCACCTGGAGTCAGGCTGAGAGGGTGTCCTGCGGGGATCCCAGGGTTTCTGCTCTACCTGGTACCCCAGTTGGCTTCTTGGGAAAGTTGCTGGAGTATTCTACCCTCAAGGCAAACTGGCCCTGGCTCTGTCTGAGCCATCCTGTCTGAAGACCACATAGGGAGGGAGGTACAGGCATCATCACAGACTCTGTGGGGATGTGTGTGTGTGGGGGTGGGGGTGGGGGTGGGGGGCGGATGATGGGGGTAACTTAGTGACAAAAATCAGGTCAGGAGGCCACCTTGTGGACTGTAATGTGCTGCCTCCCTAGCTCAGCCTCTTTGCCTCTGGAGCCCCCTCACCTGCACCTTTTTTCTGGCAGAAGCACCAGACTCAAGACCAGTTTTGCACCCTCAGGAACTCTCCAGACATTAGAGCAAGGGTGGCGGGCTAGAGGTGTCCTGAACTCAGCAACATCTGGGAATGTTCCCCACCCCAGGAAACCTAGCTCCAGATGCTTGGCAGCAGTTCAGCTCCCCACCTAGGAGTTCAAAGTTGCTGTGTCAACAGACGCATCTGTGTACCCAGATCCTCCTCATTGGGCCCCACTCCACCATTTCCACCCCAGAACCCCGCCCAGAATCACTGCCCAACCAAATGGCCCACAGGGACTCCCAGGAGCACCCACTGTGGGTGGTAGGAGGACAGGGCAGGAAGTGGGAGGAGGGGCCAGAATCTTTCTGGAGGAGGTGGAGATCAAAGAGCCCTGCAGTTAGGTGTGGAGTTGCTGATTAGGCTGATGCAGCCACCTGGTTGGAATGCTTTAGGGCAGTGGCTCTCAACCTTCCTAATGCCGCGACCCTTTAATACAGTTCCTCATGTTGTGGTGACCCCCAATTTCATTGTTACAAATTGAACATAATTAAAGCATAGTGATTAATCACAAAAACAATATGTAATTATATATGTGTTTTCTGATGGCCTTAGGCGACCCCTGTGAAAGGGTCGTTCGACCCCCAAAGGGGTCAAGACCCACAGGTTGGCGACCCACAGGTTGAGAACCGCTGCTTTAGGGCATCAGGGCACAAGCTGCACTGGGACAGCAAGTGGAGGCAGAGCCGGGAGGCCAGGACAGGCACTCAGGCTTCACTCTGAGGGCCCACTAAGCGCGTCTCAGTCTCGATGACTGCCCCGGATGGGTGACGGAAAGAAGACATCTTGCATGGGTGACTGAACCCCTCCAGCTTCTGTTTCATCAGCTGTAAAATGTCACGCCTCCTTAGCAGGCTGCTGCTAGGACTGCTTCTGTGCCTGGGATGCCCTTGGTGGACCCCAGGACAGCTGTTATGATTAATAACGGAACAGCATAGAAATGTCCTATCCTGAGGCAGTGGAGGGAATTCTTGTTGTGCCCAGATTTCAAGATCCCCAAGAAAACCACACCAGGGAGCCAGCCAGTCCAATGCAAAAGCAGAGGGTCCTTTATTGAGCTAGCTCGACTCCCCCTCCTGGCCGACGCAGCGACCGGAAGCAGAGTGAAACCGCCATGAGAGAAACAGGGTTTTAATAGGGGGTGGAGTGAGGGGAGGGGAGCTGACTGTGGGCCCTGCCAATTGGCCAGGCACCAGTCGGGTCTTCTTACACAGGATGTGGTCATCTCTATGGCGTGCACGTCCCTTGATTGTCATTGGTTAGTTTAAAGAAATCCCGGGCGTGGCCAGCAGGGGCCTGGGCTTCCGGGAAGAAGGTACTCTCCTGAGCACATGGCGGCTGCCCCAACATGGAGGGTACGGGGCAAGATGGAGGGCATAGCCCTCGCCCTTTCAATTCTTACCGCCACTGGCTCCTGGGGCGCTCTGAGGCCAGGGTCTGGAAGGAGCAGCTCATGGCCATAACAAGGAATGAGCAAACCCGGGTGTCCGGATGACCCGTCCTTTGTCCCAAGCTCCTGCTGCGCCTTGGTCTCTGTTGTAGGTAAAGGCCTGAGCAAAGAACATAGCTTTGTGGAGTCTGAAGAGGATGGCAGCCCCTGGCCCCCATGGGGTGCCTGGTGCTCAACAGGTCTGCTGTTGGACATAAACTGTCAGAGGACATCAGCATGAGACCAGGCCACGCCATGACTGTGATGGCTCCACATGAAACACACCCTCTTGTAATCACATCTGAACACAAACAAGGACACAGCCCAAACCTCAAAAAGGAACAAGCACCTGTTCTGGCTAAAGGAGGGAAGGCTGTCCTTTACCAGCCATGGGGGAGCCTTTCCTCCCCTGCCCTCCTTCTGATAAGATATATTAAGACTAGAGGCCCGATGCACGAAATTCGCGCAAGAGTAGGCCTTCCTTACCCCGGATGCAGGCACCGGTTTCCCTCTGGCACCCAGGACCCAGGCTTCTCTCACAGACCTGGCTTCATCTGGAAGGTTGTCCGGAAGGATGTCTGGCCTGATTAGCATATTACCCTTTTATTATTATAGATGCTGTACTAGAGGGCTGGGTGGAGGTGGGCGAAGGTGGGGGAAGAAATGGGGACATCTGTAATAGTGTCAAAATAAAAATAAATTGGCCCTAGCTGGTTTGGCTCAGTGAATAGGGCATCAACCTGCGGACTGAAGTCCTGGTTTTGATTCTAGTCAAGAGCACATGCCTGGGTTGCGGGCTGGATCCCCAGTAGGGGGCATGCAGGAGGCAGCCAATCAATGATCCTCTCTTATCATTGATGTTTCTATCTCTCTTTCCCTCTCCCTCCCTCTCTGAAATCAATAAATATATTAAAGTAAATAACTAAATAAAAGTAAAACCAAGAATAAAATATGCTGTACTGGGCCGAATGGTGTCCCTCACAAATTCACATCCACCCAGAACCTTAGCACGTGACCTTATTTGGAAACAGCGTCTTTGCAAATGTAATTTGTTAAAATGAGGTCATAGGGGACAGGGTGAGCCCTAAGCCCCATGACGGGTGTCCTTATAAGAAGAGGAGAGAAGACCCTGAGCACACAGGGGAGGAGGACGTGTGAAGAGCCAGAGGCCAAGGGGTGCCCGGGATTGCCAGCAGCACCAGACGCTCAGACAAAGGCCTGAGGAGACTCCCCTGGAGCCTTCAAAGGAAGTACTGGTGTGTCCCTGCTCACACCTTGGCTTTGGGTTTCTGGCCCCCAGAACTGTGAGAAGACAACTTTTCTGTTGTTTTAAGGCATCCAGTTGGTGGTCCTTAGTTAGGGCAGCCCCAGGAAACTGAGGCAGGCACCCATTCAGAGAGCCGCCTGCTTCCTGACAGTGTGTAACCCAGAGCAGAGCCTCTCACCCAGCCCTGGCCTGAACCCACAGCCCTTCCTAACTCCCTTCTACCGAGACATCCGTGTCCCCGGGGGCACATTCTCCTGGCTGCAAGCAGATAAACTCACCTTGTCCAGCCACAGGTGTGCTCCGGCGGGGGGCAGTGACAGCCCCAACTACTATGGTGCACTGGACCCTTCGATGCCGTGGGGCCCACAGTGGGCAAAGCCACAACCAGATGGATCGAGGGCCTCCTGTGTCTCTGGGGCCCTCCCATCGTCCCCCCACCCCTGGCCCCAGCAAGCCCAGCCGAGCACTGGGTGACAGGTACCTGGTACGGCCAGCCCTGCCTGCTCTTGGTCATGGTCCCCCTCCCCGCCTCCCAGGGACATAAGCTAACACCTCAGCCTTCATTATCTCAAAGCACACAGAGAAACCTCGCAGGAGGCCTAATGTCCCACTAATGGGCAGGAAGGCTGCAGCCCTTGTGTGCCCAGTGCCGGGAATAATTCATCGTAGCGCCACTTGAGAGCTGACATATTGGAGCTATTGATTTTCCCTGGGACGATCGATACGGGATGCGTGGAGACGGGCAGGCCCACCGCCTTTGGAAGGGCAGAGCCTTTCTCCTGGGGACTGAGGCCTGACAACAGGTGGGGGCTGGTGGGGACAGGATGGGCACAGACCTCCGAAAGGCCCAACGCTGCCCCAAATGGGAAGCTGGCTGGGAGCAGATGCTGGGACATATGCTCGGGCTCTGGGCCTGGCAGTCAGAATGCCTGTTCCCCAGCCCCACTCTAGGGGCCCGGTGGGCGGCAGGGGGCTGGGGGACACACATGCCACTTAACCTGGCTGGCCACCCAACATGGGCTGGACATGTGTAGGAAACTGGGTCCCTCTGCCCATCCAGGGTCCCCTCAGGGTGTACCCCAACCCAGCCTCACCAGTAACAAAAGCAAGTCCACCTGCCAGACCCCTGCGTCCATCATGAACCTGGCCTAG